CAAACACACGAAGGAAATAAAGCAAGAAGGAACACAAGGATTTTACGTGGTTCGGATTCGGTGTAAATCCTATGTCCACGGGCGCAACTAGATTTTATATTAACTCACTATAAGATTACAAATGGTAATATCACTCAGCACTTTTGTTCTCTCAAGTTTTTGCACACAAAATATGCAAAACATACATGCATATATATAGGTATATTTGTGAGCCGCAATATGCACAAGATTGCCGCAAAGATTGAAAAATGCGTAGATTTTTCTTTAGCCGTCCATTGATTATTCCACCGAAAGTTCGCGTCCAATTCAAATGTTCAATTGTTGCGTTCACATTAGAGATAGTGACAATAAATATTAAACAATTGATTCCACCGTCCATTCAACAATTCAATTGTTTTAATTTCCAAGTTTCATTTATGGCCCTTGAACTCTTAGGAACTTGTCAATTTGTTCATGACTCCATAAATCTTAACAATCTCCCACTTGGAGACTTGAACAAATTAGTCTTTCTCCGCCATCCAACTCTCAATTACTCCAGTAATCTTAAAAAAAACAACCAAGTCCGTCAAGCTTCCAGTTCCAAAGAACAAGCTAAAACTTAGTCTGATTTCTCTAGTTGCAGCCGCCCCTCATCATCAATTACTAGAAAGGGCCAGTTGAAGCTCCCACTAGCTCCAACTCAGCCATGGCTAATCCCGCCACCGACTCATCCTCTGTCTCAACTGGTTTGGACACTCCACCGGATCCAGAGATACACCGAGGACCACTAACACTCTCCAAACTTTGCAAACATTCAACAGGAGAGAATTTTTCAGTCTTAGTCTTCAAAACCCAACGGCTCTTTGTAACTGTACCAGGAACACATCTCGTGCTCCCACTGTCACAGAATCCCCTGAATGGTTTAGACTTTCGAACTCGTTCAGCTAACATCTCTTTGGCTCCAGAATTCATGTTTGCAAAATGAACTCTCTTAGCCGTAGATTTAGCGAACCAGATTTTGTCTTGCTTAACAGGGACGGTCATAATTCCCTCATCAGGTACCTCAACCATATACAATGACTCACACTTCATACCACGAGCAATCACCAGATCACCATTGACCACCCTCCATTTACCACTACCAAACCTTACTTCCAGTCCTTGTTTATCCAGCTGACCAACAGAAATCAATTTCTTCTTCAGCTCCAGAATCACCCTGACATCCTTCAGGCTCCATGTAGTTCCCAATGAAGTAACCAAATCAATATCTCCCATGCCCGTTACCTGAAGCATCTCGTCATTTGCCAAACGTACCTTTCCAAAATCTCCTTCTTTTAGATTCACCATCGTTTCCCCGTTGTCCATGGCGTGAAACGAAGCCCCTGAATCCATGACCCAAGAGTCTACAGAACTTTCCATACTGAGTAACAATGCATCATCCTCAGACACACTCTCAGCACCGGCAATGTTTAATTCTTTCTTTGGACATTGACTCTTAACATGTCCCACCTCCTGGCAGTTCCAGCACTTCACATTCTTCCTAGTTCTAGATGAACTTCTTCCCCGACTCCCACTGCTTCCACTATTCCTGCTATTCCCTCTACCTCTTCCGACATTTAATAAATCAGAAGAGGAAGATCCACCTTGATTCTTGCGTCTGATATCCTCGCCTAGAACCAAATCTCTAACCCCTTCAAAAGTCATACCACTGGTCCCCACGGAACTCGTAACAGCGGTAACTGTTCCGGACCAGCTATCAGGTAGAGAAGCTAGTAGCAGTGATGCTTGAGTCTCGTTATCAAATTTAATTCCCACAGATGATAATCTGGACAGAATTGAATTTAGATTGTTAATGTGAACCGTAACTGAGCCTTCCTCATTCATCCTTGTAGTGAACAACTCCTTCATCAAGAACACCTTGTTAGCCGCCGATGGTTTCTCATACATATTTGACAGAGCCTCCATCATACCACGTGCCGTGGTTTCATTCATGATGTTGAAAGCAACGCTCTTCGTCAACGACAATGTAATAACCGCCTTGGCTTTCTTGTCCTTTGAGTTCCACGCATCTTCAAAAGCTTTTTCCATTTTCTCCGGTTTGTCTCCGAGTACCATGTCCAAGTCTTTCTGACATAGCAATGCTTCTAATTGCATTTTCCACTAGCTAAAATCAGAACCATTGAACCTTTCGATTATAATCTTGTCTTCAGCCATTACGACAAACAAGATACAAATCAGGTACACTCGTGCGTGATAAAAAAAACGATCGTACCCTCCAAAACCTCGCTAACCAGGCTCTGATACCAGTTGTTAGGAATCGGACCGGGTACACGCAGCGGAAACACACTATCACACACACAAACACACGAAGGAAATAAAGCAAGAAGGAACACAAGGATTTTACGTGGTTCGGATTCGGTGTAAATCCTATGTCCACGGGCGCAACTAGATTTTATATTAACTCACTATAAGATTACAAATGGTAATATCACTCAGCACTTTTGTTCTCTCAAGTTTTTGCACACAAAATATGCAAAACATACATGCATATATATAGGTATATTTGTGAGCCGCAATATGCACAAGATTGCCGCAAAGATTGAAAAATGCGTAGATTTTTCTTTAGCCGTCCATTGATTATTCCACCGAAAGTTCGCGTCCAATTCAAATGTTCAATTGTTGCGTTCACATTAGAGATAGTGACAATAAATATTAAACAATTGATTCCACCGTCCATTCAACAATTCAATTGTTTTAATTTCCAAGTTTCATTTATGACCCTTGAACTCTTAGGAACTTGTCAATTTGTTTATGACTCCATAAATCTTAACACCTGTTTATAGTGAAAATCGCAGAGATAACTAAGTTGATGTTGTTCATAAATAAATGAAACACCCCTTCTTTTATTATGCACAGATAAATTAGTATTTTGGGACTTGTGGATTTACAGGGTTGGTGTTGTTGAAGTTTCAGGATGGAATTGGGAGGGCCCTTTAGGTGTTTTAATGATTTGCTTCTTTAATACCATTCTTCAATCCTCTTGGTGATCGACAAAGGTTAAGCATCTCCTTATCAACACCATCTTTTCCCTCATAATTTACAATTTCCTTTTGTTTTCATGAGGTTATTAACCCTTCTTTTATCGAAATTTGATTTCCTTTCTGTTCGAATCATTTGGTGCCCTAATTTCCTGCTTTTGTCGTCCACCATTGGTCCCCCTCTTATATTTTGAGAATTTTGTTAAATTTTGTAACTCAATTTTAGATTATTTAGGGTTTCATTGTGTGGGTTGTATTGAATATCTTGAGTCCTTTCGATTGCATCAAGTTCCTAATTATATCCATCAGGTAAAACCGAATTGCATCTCTAAAATGATATATGTTCTACTTTACATGATAAATTTATTATGTCTTTTGAAAAACTCTTACTATATTTCTATGGTTGATTATTATCTGTGTTACATAAAGACTATTACTCTCTTATTCTTTCCTTTGTCTTATTAACAACTAACAAGTTAGAAGTTTATGATGCTTTAAGATACTTTTGTGTTTCATTTATCAGAGGGTAGTGGTTGTTTAGTTGAAGTCTTAAAATAATGAAAAATCAAACTACCATGGGATTCCTGTGAATAAGATAGTTTGGATGTAATTTTTTCAGTAAATCAGTTGGATGGTTTTCATGATTGTTGATAGTCAACCCAAACAGCAAGGCTGATTTTCGTTGGAAAGACCATGTTAATCATATTCTTTTAATCTGGTTGTTTTGAGGTCGAGCACTTTGACTTTAGAATCTAGAATATGTTTTATTTAGTGGCTTGTGATTTGAAATTTTTGTTTATATTTGTGTTTTATTGTTGTTATTATATTACAACCTTTTCTTGATTTTGGAATGGAAAAAAGCAAAGAATGTTGGTTTGTTTCAAGGAATATAAGCGTTTCATATTGAACCTCGTGTAGTGGTATTAATTGGTTATTAAAATCATGGATAATTAATTTAACGAATATTTTATTTCAAAGTCAATGCAAAAATATTTCAAGTCTCGGTTACTCATATGTAATGCCACATTGCTTACATGTATTGTCTCATAAATTTTACGAATTTTTACCCGTGTTATTTGGAAAAAGTAATATATTTGTCAAGTTTTCTCAATTTTTAATATTTGATTATATCTTCTAAATAAACTATGTGAATGAGAATAAATCACCATTTTACCCTTCTGTCTATTTCTCTTTTAGTCTGAATGAACTGTTTAGATGAGTAATCGGCTATTATACCCTTTTGTCTAAAAAATATAGGTAAACTTCTCTTTGTTGACTTTTGTAATAACACCATAACAACATGTTTTCGAGTTGGTGCGAGTTAGTTTTTTTTTAATCAAGTGCTTAATTGATGTAGTGTACGAATAAATGATGATTGTCAGGAGAAATTTTCTACGAATAAAGACTTTTCTTTTTCTGTACTGAATGAACCATCATAACGAGATAAATGACCATGTTATCCTTTTTGTCTAAAAATGAGAGTAACTGAGTCAGGAAAAATGAGATTGCTGATATTTATTCCAATTGTCATGCTGGCATGAAGATTTAGAAGCAGATTTAATTTCTTTACATGCCATAACTCAGTGATAATATGTTAGGGGTGGCAACTCTCGACCCAACCCGTAACCCGACACGAACCCGACACGAAAATAAGCGGGTTAGGGTTGAGATTTCTGACCCGCCAACCCGCCAAGCCGCCAACCCGTTTATTTAACGGGTTGGGTTGGGTTACGTGTTTGGGTTCGCGGGTCAACCCGCCAACCCGCCTAATTTATTTAATTATCTATTTATTTTAATTTTTAACAATCTAATATTATACTATTATTTTCTATTTATCATATCCTTAAAAATTAGTTTGGTATTCGTTGGTATCATCAGCCATATTAATATTAGAGTTGTATGTTTGGGCAATGTGGCATTGTGGGCTTGTGTTGTGGCTCATGATCCACAGATCCAGTCATCCATCCTTCGCTCCTTGAGTCCATGTGCAGCCAGCCATTGCGTGCCCTAATAAAAAAAAAAAAACGCCTCTCTTTCCAGTATCCACATTCACGACCGATTGAACGATTGAACGAAGGATATGGACTGATCTTCGAAGGCAGAAACATCACGAACTCATGATTCAATCACTCATCGGGCCGCTCCTCATCCGCTCAACGCCGTTCGCACATCACACTCGCTCCTGATTAGCTTCGACGTTCGACACTTCGACCCAACTTCCTTTCTCTCTACGGTAAGTAACAATCTATAGACTATAGTATATACACTCTATTGATTAGTAAATTACGGAATTACCACCAGATTTTGACGTTCGCTCATGATCCAGTCATCCATCGACGTTCGACACTTCTGACTTTGATTGTAAATCCCATCATCATCATCATCCAAGTTCGTTCTTTAGGAATTCAACTGCTATCTTTGATTTTTTGCTTCTTAGTTACAGAAATCGACCAGGAAGATATAATGCTTCCACATTGTGTATCTTTTACCCACTATGTTAAATGAAAATATGATTCTGAGTAGTGCTTCTTTTTCTGTTAAACAGTAGTGTCATTGTTGACTTGTTAAACTGATTTTGAACCTGATTTTGAACCTGTTTTACACTGATTTTGACTTGTTTTACCCACTATTTAATAATCAGTAGTGCTTCTTTTTCTGTTAAACAGTAGCGTTAAACTATTAATCATTATATTGTTTGTGTAGGTCGATATGGAAGATGTTATTGTTGACAATCATGTTGAGGTTGACAATGAAGAAAGTGAAAGTGATGACTCAATTGAAGAAGTTGAAGCACCAAATGAATCACAAGGAGTTGAGAGTACTTCTTCAAAGAAAAGGAAAACAAGGACATCAACTTCAGATGTTTGGAAAAGCTTTACTAAATTACCAAGAAAAACACCAAATGAACCCTATATTGTGTGTGCAACAAATGTGGTCAAAAATATAAACAGGAAGTGAAAGCGGTACCGGTAATCTACGTCGCCATCGAAGGAGATGTGAAGATAATAATACTAGAGACATTGGCCAATATATGATTTCCGATAGCCAAGGTGTAATGGATTTGAGAAATCCAAAGTTTAGTCAAGAAAGACTAAGGGAATTGTTGATTGAAGCTGTTATTAGACATGACTTGCCATTCTCCTTTGTTGAGTATGAAGGAATTAGAAATATTTACAAATATTTGGAACCAAATTCCAGTCATATTTGTAGGAACACAGCAAAGGCAGACATTAAAAAGTTACATGCAAGTCATTGTGTTAGACTTCGTGGCGAGTTGCTTAAATGCCCAAGTAGAATATGCTTAACTTCTGATGCTTGGACATCAATTGTTACAGATGGTTATTTGAGTTTGACTGCCCATTATGTTGATAGCAAGTGGGTCTTACAGAAGAGGATTTTAAATTTTTCTGAATTCCCTCCTCCACATTCTGGTGTTGCTATTGCTGAAAAGCTTAGTGGCTTGATCAAAAGTTGGGGAATTGAAAGGAAGTTGTTTTCTATCACTTTGGATAATGCTTCCTCTAATGATGTTTGTGTTGGATTGCTTAAGAATCAATTTCGTTTGATGAATTCTTTAGTATATGATGGTAAGTTGTTTCATCTGAGATGTTGTGCCCATATTCTCAATTTGATTGTTCAAGATGGGTTGAAACAAATCGATGTGGCTGTGGAAAAAGTTAGAGAATGTGTGAAGTATGTCAAAGGATCTTCAGCAAGAAAAACAAGGTTTTCTCAATGTTGCTCACAAAAATCTTTTGGACACTAGAAAGGCTTTGATGCAAGATGTTCCTACTAGGTGGAATTCTACTTATATGATGCTTTCTTGTGCACTTTATTATCGACTAGCCTTTTCGCATCTTAGTTTGAATGATTCTAACTTTCAAGATTGCCCGTCCTCTGATGAATGGGAAAGAGTTGAGAAAATGTGTAGCTTTCTGAAAGTGTTTTATGATGCAACTCTTCAGTTTTCAGGATCACTTTATCCTACTTCAAATTTGTATTTCCCTCAAATATTTGGAATACATTTGAAGTTGGTTGAAGAGAAGAAAAGTCCCGATGAGTATATGAAAAAAAATAGCTACCCAAATGTGGAATAAGTTCAACAAATATTGGGCTGATTTTAATGTTCTGTTAGCTATAGCCGTGGTGTTTGATCCTAGATATAAGTTGTCGTTTATTGACTTTTGCTATAAAAAACTCTATGGAGAAGGTTCATCACAATTTAAGGCTATTGAGAGTGCCTTTTATGAACTTTATGATGAATATGTGCAAGCTTCAAAAAATGCAACAACATCCGACTCGACATCACATCAAGGGAGCAACGACAACATTAGACAAAGTAATGTTGGGGGAGAGTCTAGTCAAAACAACATTCTTGAGGTAAATCATATTTTCTAATTACTATTAAATTTGAATTTTATATTTGTTTAGTTTTTAAATATACTAAATTGCTAATTCGTTTTTTATATATATTATTTTTTATTATAGGAGTTTGACGAATATGATAATGATGATCCGGGTTCCAACACCACAAGTCAATTGCATGTATACCTTCTTGAGCCAAGAGCTAAAAGAACTTCTTCCATTAACATGCTTGAGTTTTGGAAAGCCCAACAGGTATCCTGAATTAGCTAAATTAGCTATGGATATACTTTGTGTTTCCGTTTCAACAGTAGCATCTGAATCGGCTTTTAGTCTTGGTGGAAGAATTTTGAATGAATATCGAAGTTCCATGAAGCCCGATGTGGTTGAAGCTTTGGTTTGTAGTCGGGATTGGTTGTTTGGAGAAAAAGGTAATATTTCATAATTTTTGGTTTTATCGTATTATCTAAAATTTTGTATTAATTTTTTTTCTTTTCCTTATGCAGTTGATTTGCATGTGGCTATTGACAACCTAACTCAAAATGTAATGAATTTGAACATCAATGAAGACAATATGGAGGTTACAAATTCGAACATACTTTAAGGTGTCATTTGGTGAGTTCTTTTTAGTACAAATATTTATGTAGCTTTCAAAAGATCATAAATTTGATTGTTCATATTGTTTCTATTTGAAGGTTATCTTGAAGAAGTTGGTGTTGGAGGAAGAAATGAGAATTGTAGCATGAATGAATTATCACATTTGTTTTTTTATATGTTTGAACAATTGCATTTTTCATGAATGTTTTGATTTTTAGAGTTTTATTTGGATGTTTATGACTTTATGTTTAATGTTTATTTTGGATGTTTATGACTTTATGTTTAATGTTTATGACTTTTAGACTTCATTTTATTTGGATTTTTCAATTTCATCTTAAAATGTGTTGCTTATTAAATGGGTTATACGGGTTGGGTTCGACCCACTGACACGTGAACCTGCCAACCCATATACTTATACGGGTTATGTGGGTTGGGTTGGGTTGATGTTTCCAACCCGTCAATCCGTGACCCGCCAACCCATATATTATATGGGTTGGATTGAGTTTCTGAATTCCAACCCGCCAACCCGAACCCAACCCAATTGTCAGGCCTATAATATGTCGTGCTCTAAATAAGAGAGTAGAAGTTGACTTTAGATGGAAAAGGAGAACGCTTTAATTTGAAATTTGACATAGATTTTGAGTATTTGTAGACAAAGAATCAATAACTACAGTGAACTGATAGCATAAGACTTTGAATTACGAGGTTTTATGTTTATTGTGTATGTGCACTATGTAAGTAAGTACTGGCAAGAAAATATAGCACTCTTATGTGAATGAAGGAATTCTGACTTTTTTTTTGAATGGTTTACTTTTATGGGTAGTCAACTACTCAATTTGAAACCTATACTCCGATAAATTTGTTTTTTGTTTTCTGATATGTAGCTATATCGTGAATGTCTTCGTAAAGCAAAGTACATTATGCATATGGCATCCACCCTCATGTATGTTTCTCACCTTTGCTCCTAAACTATGCATACTTTCCCTTTTCTCCTTCATTAGATTCCATTTCAACAAGAAAATTTTAGTCTAGAATCTAGATGGCATTAGATGACCCGTTTCTTACTTAAGTTGGTCATGTTATATATATATTTCATCAATAATAATCTGTACGTTACAGTTACATGTTTGGAAAATTTAATAATATGATTTGAGTAACATGTATTAGGTTGAACTCCCTTCTATTTTATTAGTGGAAGCCCCTAAAAGCCAGAGTGAAGATCAATATCTAATGAAAAAATAAGTGTACTAGGATCACAGTAACGTCCTTTGATACCCTTGTTACAAGTCATGCCAAAGGAACTATGTCAAATAATGAATCTTATGACAGGTAATCTTGAAATATGAGTTGAGTTCATGTTGAGATCCTTGATTTATATGAGCTTTCAATTACTGTTGGATCTGTATAGACTCGAATTTCTAGAAATGACATTTTTCTTACTATAGATATCAACAACTGAATATTGGTGATTTTTCTTTTATATGTGTATAGTAAAGGTGGAAACTCTGCAAAGTGCAGAAACAACCTTCAAACAGGTAGATACATTGTTATCAAAGGCTCTTGTAACAATAATCTCTAACCTCCCTCTAAGCTTCAGATGATGAGATTTAATATAAGCACATAACATAATTTGAGCTTCCTCTTATTATCCAAACCAATTTAACGATTTAATTCCAAATAGCCTAATTGCAGGAAATCATTATTTTATATATAGATGTCATAGTTCCAAAATACAATGTCGTATTATGAACTATTGGAAAATATTGTTGTAATAAGCAAATCAAAGAAAGTATGTTATTATTTCTTGCAGTTTCAACCCTGCTATCAATTATAAACACAATCTTTAAGGTAGATACATACTTTTATGTATTTGGATTCTAGCATCCTTCTTCTATTACACTTTATTAAAACATTGTAAAGCCTTCTACTCTGAAGATTTAGCAAATTATAGAAAAGTACTCTAAAAATCTTATAGAACATTATACTTAAAGAATATATCATTTATGGAAACATATGTTTAATAAACTGAGCTCATGTTTAAATTACTATCGCATAAAAGATAGAATCCAGAAGAATATAAATGATTTCAAATTTTCTATGAATCGCATAGTTTGCAGTTCTCAAACAAGTATTTTAATTCCCCGATAAAATAACTTCAAACAGTCAATATTTGTTTAAAGTAATAATAAATTTGTAACGCCTGGTTCCTGATAAGTATTTTTTTTAAAATGAAGAATTATCATTTTAACGAGGGGACTCTACGAGTTGAAGGATCAACTCGTCGAGTAGGATCGGGCGTGGACGCGGGAGTTAAGTGACCTACTCGTCGAGTAGCAGCTGTCTGTATGAAACCCTAAATTTGAGGGTTTGCACCCTATTTAAACAACTTATCTCAGCCTCCATCGTCCCTTATACTCCCAGAAGACATCATATCGAAACCCTAGCCTTGTTTGAGTATTCTAAGGCCATTTTGGTGCATTTTGGTGGATTGTGAAGCTTGAGAAGGGGAAAGGAGCTTGGGAGTTCAAGTTGGAGCTTGGAGATCCAGAGATTGTGTTCCATTCCCAGCTCATTTAAGGTAAAAAGCTCCTGCCTTGATCTTCCATGTGTTTATTCATCTTTAGGGCTTGGATTTTGGGCACAATTAGGGTTTTCTAAGCCATTTTCGGGTTGTGAAGTGTTATAGGGAGTATTGACTTCAGATCTTGGTCATTGGAGGGGTCTCATGGCATAAAGGTGCCAACTTTATGGCCATGAGAGCCCCATGCATCTTTTAGACATCATTTGTAGTCCTTTAGGGTTAAAAGACCCATGTATGGACGTAAAGTTCGTGGCTTTACGAGCTATATCGGCCCTAGGAGGTCAGATCTACCCTTTGGATGAGATGAGCTTGACAGAAATCGAGTTTAGGGACATGGATTTTAGTGGACTCGGCGAGTTGTTCTTGGGACTCGACGAGTCGGATAGTGGTTCTCCAACCCTTGCTGTTTTGAGGGTCTGGTTGAGTCTAGAGAAGGACTCAACAAAGATGGACGAGATTATAGATCTGGGAATCATGGGACTCGACGAGTGGTTGAGCAAACTCGGCGAGTCCAAGGCAATCTCCCAATATTTGAAGATGGACTCGACGAGTTGTTCATACAACTCGGCGAGTCATAGAATGGACACATTCTTATGAGGGAGATGAACTCGACGAGTTCAAGGATGAACTCGGCGAGTCGGATGAAGATGGTCCCGATGGTATGATGGAAGGAGAACCCGTCGAGTTCTTGCTAGACTCGACGAGTAGAGTCGGGGGTTGGTTCGAGTTAGAGGAGTATGGACTCGACGAGTTGGTAGACCAACTCAGCGAGTCAGGTCAACTAGATGTTGACTTTGACCAATGTTGACTTTGACTGAATTGAGTTGACCCTGGTTTGGGTTGCATGTTCGAATTGATAACTTAGAAGGGTTGCCGTGTAGGGATTGAGGAGTCGAGGGGAGTTGACTTTTCACGCCGAGGACATTTCAGACACTACACGACATCGAGGTGAGTTACCTTTCAGTAGAAGTGGGTCTAAGGCACCAAGGCCGGCCCACTGGTAATTGTAGTTGTGATGATTGCGTTTGTGATAATCATCTGGGTTGCTTGTGCTTGATATATGTGTATGCTAGTATGCTATGATATGTGAGATAGTATCAGTAGGAGGGGACTAGTCCCCGATTCGGTCGCTAGGACCAATGGGTAGGTCGGACACCCCAGATATGTCTGACAGCATGATTATGATACGATATTATATGCTAGCGGTAGGGGTGAAATAGTCCCCGTATCCGGTTGAGATAGACCGGAGGGTAGGTCGGCACCCTAGAATAGCCTGACATGGGTAGGTCAGCACCCCATAATGGCTTGACATGGGTAGGTCAGCACCCAGAATGACTTGACATGGGTAGGTCGGGCACCCCAGAATTGCCCGACAATATGTATGTGGTTGTGGTATGTGGTATGATGGGGGAACTCACTAAGCTTTGTGCTTACAGTTTCAGTTTTGGTTTCAGGTACCTCTTCGTCCAAGGGGAAGGAGCCGGCGGTGTAGCAGCGCATCACACACACACACATGATTTCCGCATGGAGTTTCTGGGATTGTACTCTGATTTTCATAACTCTTGATATTGTGATTTTGAAACATGACGTTATGGTTTTTATAAGTTGATGTAACCTTGACAATGTTTTGGTACACTATTTCATGAGGTACTTAATTTAAAAATGAAATTTTTGGCCTTGAAAATTGGGATGTTACAAAATTAGTCTAATGAAATTACAACTTAAAAAAAAAGAATTATCATAGATAAATTAGTCTGATGTTCCCATATCAACTTAGAACTATGGTCACCACTCTTACATGGTTATTTTCATCTTCAGTCAATCTACATAGCCATTTTATGGCAAGGAAAGTGACTGTCACACCCCAAAACCAAGAACGGCGGAAACGTTCAGGGGTGGAGGACGTCATGTAAAGTATCATAACAGTGCAAAGTAGTAAACAAGCAACAACATCATCCATTGCATTAAAAGTAAAGTTTTAATACATGAGTGTTCTTTCATAGTAATAAGACACCAAAATATGTAATCAAAATAAAAGACGAGTCTTGTCTGTGCTCCGTCTTCTCAAAACCTGGTCATCGTACCTGTCTACTGATGACCTGAGAATACAAGTTATTTTGAAAGCGTAGATCAACATAAAGCTGGTGAATTCATAAGTATTATGGTGTCATTGATTTGAAAAGCTGTTATGAAAGACTTGTAAATGTTTAATAAAACATTTAGTATAAGTGTGAAAACCCTAGAAAATCCCATATTTCCTACTAGTATAAAAGGTAGTCTTCTACCAAGACCTGAATGCTTTGAAAGATGCATTTCTGTATAAATGAAAGTTTTTCCCATATGTGACTATTGTTATAAATATATAGTCTACCTCATCGTTTATGTGAATGTGTCACAAAATAAAAGTAAAAGGGAAAATTATATAATCATTTAAGTATTATCCTTTGGTACTAGGACAAACACGGCATAGTAATTGCTGAATAGTATTAACCGTAGACATCCGTCGATGTGCATTTTCCCTCTGTAGCTAACAGCTGGGTGTAGAATGGTTAGTCCCGTACATATATAATAGTATCTACACATATAATATGTAATAGTATCTCATCATATAGTATCTATGTAATAGTATCCATGTAAAAGTATCCATGTAATAGTATCTCTTCATATTGGTATGTAATGTATTAGTATAGACTCATGAATGAACTGACTCTTGTGTAATTCCTTGTA